CTTCTTCTTCTTCTTCTTCTTCTTCTTCTTCTTCTTCTTCTTCTTCTCCTTCTCCTTCTCCTTCTTCTCCTCCTTCTCCTCCTTCTCCTCCTCCTCCTTTTCTTGTGTTTTTCCCCCTTTCTGTCCATTAAAAGTTTGTTTGGCAAGGATAATTCATGCTTTCTTGAACTGGGCTGAGTACCAGGGGTGACTTTTAAACCCTTCAACCCTGTGGGTTGTGCCCTGAGGAGGAGGAAGACGAACCGCCGACAGGGAGCGGGAGTGGGGCTCCGTTGGCTGTGGAGGAAACTGGGGAAGGGCAAAGTCCGGCTGGGCAGATGAGGGTAGAGGTAGAACAAGGGCGAGGGAGTTCAGAGGAAGACCCAGGCCCATCCCCTCTTCATCCTAGGGCATGCAGGGAGGAACAGAGAAGGGAGCAACGTAGCTTGCATGGCTTATGGGGGAGGGAAGGGCCCTGATACCCTTCATTAGCCACACCTGAGAATGAGAGTTTAAAAGAGATGCCTGCTGAGTGTGGTGTCTGCTGAGAGCAAACATAGTTTATCTTGTGTTGACTTTGGTTATCTGTGTTCCTGATGTCTTCCCAATAGTGTTGAGTTATTCCATTGCCTTCACATCTGGAATTCTTGCTCCTGCCCTGCCGGAATAATGACCTCATTTTGCCTTGTTTGGCCTTTAAGTTAGAGTTTGTGTTGACCATGTTTTGGACTTGATTCTCTGCAGCCGACGGCTGTTCCTGGGAGAGTTTTTTTTCTCCAGCCCAGAAGGTAACCAGGACATTGGGGGCAAAGTTGGAGCTAATAAAGAGACTCCTACGGATTATCTGACTGTGTTGCCTTTGTGCCACACCCCTTTGGGTCATCAGTTTCTTTCCATCCACCCTGAAGGTGTCCTCGTCTTTTCCCAAACAGAACATCTTCCGAAGGTTACCAGTTGCGTCGGCCATGTCCCCACCCACCCACCCTGAGAGAAGACAACAGAAGGACGCCACGAATCCTCCGTCACGAGGTGGGGGGAGTTTTCCATTCATGTCCTCGCCGTGAAGTGAGGACGGAGCCCCCCAAATGTTTTCTTGGTTTGACGTGCAGGGAAGATCCAGCGTCAACAATTTGCTTCATATTTATGACGGTGGCAGAGTCAGCAACTCGTGGGGGACTAACTCAACAGCTGTAGCGATCCGCTTAACAACAATGGCCAAAAGACCGTCGAAGTTCAGAAGGGTCGTAGTTATAATGGTGGCACATCATCCCTTTTCGTGACCTAGAACGATTCACTTAAACAGCCGCCGGGAGGAAAACGAAACTCGCTTAACATCCCGTTTAGCAATGGAAATGTGAGGGTGGGGGGCTCCGTTTTAGTCGTAACTTGAGGACCACCTGTTATAATAAAACCTGGACAAAATCAGGGATCAGAGGCGGAAGGCAAATGAAAGGAACTGAAGTGGCCTGCTCGAATTTCCTGCCGCGATAAAGGGACGGCGATAAGGGGGCTTTGCCCTATTTGGCTGCCATTTTTGGGGCGGGGGGGAGGAGGAAGGAAACAAATGGGGAGGAAGGAAGGAAAAAAAAGAAAAAGAAAAGATAATTATCTTTGTAGGGTCCCTTTTAGCATTTCCCTTTCTTTATGCGATTTGGCACTCTCCTGCCCTGGCGAGGAAGCGGGTGGGGGAAAGGGGTGAGTGGGATATTTAAACAAACCAAAAAAAATAATAATAACGATAGGAAAATAAGGAAAGGGAGGCTAAGAATTTAAGCGTCAAATGTTTTTTTTTTTTTTCCTGATGATAGGGTGTCGTGTTTGGGAAGCAATTAAGCCACGCTGCCTCTGTGTGATACGCAACCAAGAGGACAGAATGAGAGGTGGGGGAAAAAAAACAACAACCCCGGCCATTGTGGGATAAGAATATTTGATTTTCTTTACAAATGTCTTTTTTTTTTTTGGAATCAAAATAAGAATAAACACCTAAGAAGGTCAGAAAAGTATGCGGCTTTTCCGTTTCCTTCCTCCCACGCTGGGTTCATTTTTTTTCGTAGGAACCCGCCACGTCGGACGTGGTCTGCCTTAGAAGGGACATTCAGCAGACTTCTTGAGAGGTGGGGGGAGGTGGGGGGGAAATCCCAATTTGATTGGGGGTCCCTGGTGCTCTCTGAGCTTGTTTCCTTCCGGGCAGACGTCTCGTGACCCAGCTAGGTATTGTCATCAGTGCTAGAAGGGAGTGTTGTTTGCTCTCTGTTCATAGACTTGTGGTTTGCCCTGTCAGCGTTGGTGGGAGGCTTCTTGGTGGTTCCTTGAATCAGGTTGTTCTTTACTGCTAGCTATTGTAGCAAGGACCTACCAAAAATGCTCCTACTCCCTTCTAGAACTGATGATATTACCTAGCTGGGTCGTGAAACGTCTGCAAGAAATACAACCAAGCTCAGAGAACACCAAGGAGCTCACAGTCCTCTTCCTTCCTTTCTCCATCACTTTAAAAACCCCACTCCTTTCTAGCACCGATGTTGTTACCTAGCTGGGTCATGAAATGTATGCAAGAAAATAGACAAACTCAGAGAGCAGTAAGGACCCTACTGTTCTTCCTCCTCCTCCTCCTCCTCCTCCTCCTCCTCCTCCTCCTCCTCCTCCTCCTCCTCCTCCTCCTCCTCCTCCTCTTCTTCTTCTTCTTCTTCTTCTTCTTCTTCTTCTTCTTCTTCTTCTTCTTCTTCTTCTTCTTCTTCTTCTTCTTCTTCCTTCTTCCTTCTCTTCCTCCCAAACGCCATTCCCTTCTAGCACTGATGATACTACCTAGCCAGGTCATGAAATGTCTTCAAGAAGACAACCAAGCTCAAAGAGCAACAACAACTGTGGTTTACTTTTTTTATTTTGTGAATGCCACTCAAGGTGAAAATCAGGATGGAGGGAATGTCGACATCACACTTCCTAGTTTTGCAAACTGAGCATGTAAGTAGTATCTGAAGCAGGGCTAAGCAAACTTCCAGTATTGTGTGAGCTTCTTCCCAACCCCGTTTTCCATAATTGCTGATGTTATCTCAAAAAACAATTTAGGGATGGTTAGTTGGGATCTTTGCCACAATACTTCTGTCGCATCTTTCAGAGGGATTGTTCAATTAGCGCAATTAAAATACCAACCAAGGTCTTGCCTCAGGCCTTCAAAATTATAGCAATCGGGATCTGCAGAGTTTCACATCTCTAGACATCTTGTTCACGAGGTGTTGGAATTCATTGTTGGAATGTATTTCTCTGCAACAACTACAGTAGTATTCACCCAGTAGATGGCAGGGTTTACAAGTTTGGACCCCTGGCATATACTCTATGTTTTTTTGTTCTAAGCAGAGTTTCCTGTTACAGTAAAAACAGTTGAGCAGTAAAGCACATGGTGACTGTGCTCTTTGTAAGCTCTGGGCTGCTACATAGAATTTCTAACACAAAACATTCGACCCTTTGAGCTACAAATAGTCTCTTCTAATGTGTGAATGGCTAACACGAACACCTCAATAGCAAGAGCCAGACAGGAGGACTTCAGACATCTAAAGCAACGCCTGACAAGTTGCTGTGACGAGTTCCTGGCCCCAATGATCTGTTCTGGTGGTGCAACGGTCCAAAATAAATCACCAGCATGTTTGTATCTTGGAACGGAACAGGTTTCAATTTGGGAGGGGGGAAAAGAGAAGAAACGGGTCTCACCTTCCAAACTAGGCGGCAGGTTTCCAGCAGACAAAGTTCCTTCTTTCATATACATCAGCAGTTCTTCTCCTGGCTCTATTTCTCTGATAACTTTATAATAAATCTACATGTCAACGACAAGGGATAGAAGGATGGAGGGGGAAAGGGGGAGAGAGAAATTAAACACGGAGCTACTTGGGTGTCAAAGGTTATTTGAAACGAAAAAAGGGGGCAATTTGATTCGATGGTGGAGAGCAATCATTTGATATTGTCCCAGGCGGTTCTCGTGGAGATGACGGCCGTATTGGAGAAGGTTCCACCATTGTATGTGTGGTATGTTCGACTGTACATTTAAGAGGGAAAATTCTGGTCCTGGCTGCCTCGGTTTTCCTCAGTGTTTTCTGACTGGTGCAGCCTTTTCTGGAGATATCCCTACTCCGGGGATCCTCAAACTTGATAGCTTGAAATGGACAAGAGTTGAGTAACCCTTGTATATTTCCAAACAGACATTGCTAAATTGCCTGACAGAGGCTGGTGGACCTCCAGAAGTTCATCAGAAGTTTGTTAGAGTAGGGCAAGGGTCTTCAAACTTGGCCAGTTTAAGACTTGTGGGACTTCAACTCCCAGAATTCCTGAGCTAACGTGACTGGATGAGGAATTCTGGGAACTGGAGTCCAAAAATCTTTCCTTCCTTCCTTTTTCTCATTCCTTCCTTTCCTTCCTTCCCTTTTTTCCTCCCTCCCTCCCGCCCCTTCTTTCTGTATTTTACCCAACTGTGCCTTCACAGATAAACCTTCCTAACAGAGGAGAATATTCCAAGAAAGTTATTCTAAAGTTATCCCACCAATGAATTTTCTTGAATTTCTCCCACCAATCCGCTTAGAAACCCCAGACCACTCAACTTCACTCTCCGAGTTGTCTCCTCTTTCTTCTTCCCTTATGTCAGCTCACACTAAAATCATCCCCAACTACAAATCCCATCACTATTGGGAAGTCATGTATTTGAAAGGCAGCCCTTTAAGCCTCAAAACCTAGACCCTTCCTCTTCTCCGAACGGGCCATGAAATTTCATCATTTTCTTTCTTTCTTTTTTTGGGGGGGTTGACTTTGCCTCCAATCTGGTTTTAGGCAAATTTCGGCCGCGTCTGAATGCTGCCATACACATATTTCACTTTAAAGAAAGATTCATTCAGGGTTTAATATATACCATCCTGCAGCAAACAGAAAGAACAGTATTCCATTTAACTCCCGCCCCCCCTCACTCCGTTATGGGCACAAAACTATTATTGTTTCTTTCCTGACTTCTGTTTACTTTTTTTATTTTTCCCCCCTTCTTCTTTTAAGCCAATACATTCTTCTGCCACATCTTTACCTGATACAGCCAAACAGTCTGTCAAACGTTAACTTAATAGATGGAAAAATCTGGCTGGTGAACTTAAAAAGTTTTTTTTAAAAAAAACCTCTCACAAAAAAACTCTTACTGGTGACATTTTATATATATATATATTATTTTTTCTTTGGGGGGAAAGCCTGAATTTTGGGGGTTCCCCCACTAGAGGGCAGAGCTGACTGATTAAAACGGAATTTGAGGCTGAAGTTACTGAAATAGACAGAAGGATTTAAAAAAAAAAGAATTTCTAATGAGTAGAAGGAAGGGATGAGGAGGAAGAGGAGGAAGAAGAGGGGGAGGAAGAGGAGGAAGAAGAGGAGGAGGAAGAGGAGGAAGAAGAGGGGGAGGAGGAGAAGAGGAGGAGGAATAGTGGAAGAGGAGGAGGAGGAAGAAGAGGAGGAGGAAGAGGAAGAGGAGGAGGAGGAGGAAGAGGACGAGGAATAGTGGAGGAGGAGGAGGAGGAGGAAAAGAAGAAGGAGGAGGAGGAGGAGAAGAAGAAGAAGAAGAAGAAGAAGAAGAAGAAGAAGAAGAAGAAG